CGCCATTCGGCAGCACTGGATGTTCTCAAAAACTTAGATATTGAAACAGATCTGGTCTAAAATAATGACATATTCCAGGCACATATAAATATATATATATATATATATATTTATATATATTTATATGGCAATACATTATTGGCTCTATGTTTGTATGAATATTTGGGATATTTAATTATTTCAAAATTGTATTCATTTAGAGAGTAGCTGTGAATTAATGGCGATTAATCGTGATTAATTGGGATAAGTCAACATTTCTAAATATGACTTTAACAAAGAAAAATATTGTTTTTTTTGTTGTTTTTTTTAAACACTATATGAAATACACCAGTGATTCCCAACAGATATATTTGGTAATGAAAATATAATAACCTTCTGGGTTAAATATACTTACAATTCACTAAAATATATGGCCTGTTTAGTTAAAGACAACGCTGATTTACTCGCAGGAATTGAAGAAAGACACCGACAAAGATCTTCTTTAGTAGCTCGGATTTTCTCTTTTTTTAGTTTTCACAGCCATCTGTGTTTGGGAATCACTGAAACAGACGACGAAGTTCTTCTGGATCATTATTCATGTTCTGTGTTTATTTAAAAAAAACATTAATAAATAAATAGTGTACTGATCTGATTACACAGTACATGACTACTACTCAGGATGCCAATGACGGCTGTCAGATGTAACTTTCGTTGTTTGCCCACCGCACAAGCTGTTTCTGGCGATGACAACTGATCCTAGCTCTGCCGTCCCAGCTTCTGTTTCCTTTCCTCGTTCCTCTCTGTCTCACTCTTGGCAGCCGCTTCTCCCGTCTTGTGCATTCTGTTTGTCCCTCATCTCGCCAACAAGGGAGTCTTGGGGGGGGGTTATTTGTTGCACCTCTCGCTGCTGCTGCCTGGATCCACCCGGAGAGGCCAATATCACAAAATAAGAGAACAACCGTCCATGGGATCAATGGTTTTTTTCATGATGGATTGAAGTATTTTCATCGTACTTTGCTTGTTACCTGAAATCAAATTATTTCTGACACGTTGTCGTTTATCTTCCTCAGGCTCTAGTGGGTTTTTTACCGACTTCTTTTTAATCTTCACTGTCTCTCCTAGATCAATATATATATATGTCCTGACCAAACAGAACACTCCATGGACGTCCTGCTGTCCACTTGTGTTCCTTCTCCTAAATGGCTGTCATTCTTCATTTGTTCACAGTAGTTGCCGCTGGAAGTGGTAGCTGTACTTCTGCGTTGACCTTCGGAGCTTCACCTCCTCTGAGTCGATGCTCTTGGATTCAATCAATGTTAGATTTGATGCACCGGAGAAGCAGAGCGGAGTTACACTGTGTCAAAGTGTGTTGTTTGTTTTTTTTTTCTTCTCCTTCATAATCCCCCGGTGTCGTGCCATCTTAGTTTTGTGGAGTGTTTTGACTTTGGAACTTTGAGGTCACAGCCGGGTTCATGATAAGGTATTAAACCTCACAGTCATGGGGTGATGTGTGCAGGTGGAAACTGCTGGGAATTTGGGAGTGTTTTTGCCGTCTCATGTTTACCCCGAATATAACCAACCACAAAAAAAGGTTCAATCTGACTGACGGATGTTTTTATGTCCTAAATTATGATGTCATCACTGTGTTAGTGCAGATGAGTGACATGATTCCTACCAATTATAATGCATTTTCAGAAACAATCACAACATTAACATCAAGTCAAATACCACCTACATTGCAGAACTTTTTTTTATTATTTTTATTTTTTTAACTCTCACATGCTTGGCCGTAAATACCTCGGAAATGATTCCGTTCGTCACTTCTTCTGCTTCATGTCGTCGAGGGTCACAGAGCGCGCTGAGGCCGATTCCCATCCACACTGAAACACTTCAGTGAACTCCGTGACCCCGCCGCTTCGGGTCAACAGGTCCGACCTCTACCCAAACACTGATGCTTTTCATAGAATATTAAACCTTTGCCTTAACAACAAGAAGAAAAAAATATTCTTAAAAAAGTCCCTTTAGTGAGTCTCCAAATCGGAGCTAAAACAATTCCATCCTTTAACACTTTTGCTTCTTGTTCTTTGGCTTAAATACTGTAGGAGCTGGCCGGTCCGACTGCTTACAAAAAGAGTCTGTGAATCATCTGGAGACAAAGGGCAGCTTTAATGCAGATGACCACACCACAATACACATCTTAGAGCCAATTAAGTCATTACAATAATTACTACTTTTTTCTTTTGCAAACTACATCATCGAGAGGTTTTTTGCCAAAAATCTATTAAACATTCTTTTGGAGTATTAATACATCATAATTTCGCCTGTGTTTACAGTATTTAAAAGTCTATGATCCAAGGCTGGAATCACTGAAAATAATTGATAGAATTCCCAGTCTCTCCTCTTTAGATCAAGATTCCCTATGAGGCAGAACGTTGATGTCAAGATCATCCATTTGTTGAAATTTGTACTTTGAGTAATTTCCCTGATAATTGAACTGCGTCTATCAACAAATAATTATTCATGAGACTGCCGGCTGATTTACCTCAGTGGGATCCAGCGCCAGTGTTAATTTTCCCTGAATAAAAACATCACACAAAGCGGGCAGGAATGTAAATGTGATCTTTGTCAGCTGCGGGCAGACCTCCCTATTAAAAATGGAAGAGGCTTCTTCCTCGACGTACAATTTCATGTTTGATGTTAATGCCTGAACAACGGAGCAGCTGAGTGGAAGCGTCAGAAAAGTGCAATTGTTAGGAGACTGAAGCACTCCTTCCTTCCTGTCGGTAACCATGGCGCTGCCAGCCAACAGACGCATTAACTGTGGTCAGCGGAGACCGGGGCAGAGGTGTTCTGACCTCCGTGCTCCCTGCTCTTCTCGACCTTCATTAAAATGCCACGGCCTGTGGCTGTTAATGCCACAGGACTCCAGGAGCAATGCACATAAAGATTAACCTGTTGATCAAACAAGCTAAAGGTGCCGATGCTAAAACTGCGTGACACGTGTAGCGTAACCACCTGCGCCGTGTGTGGCTGCTAATGAGGGACAACCCTAATAGTCTTCGTGTAATCCTTCAACGATGTGACGCAGATGTTAAATAACAGCCCAACTAACGCACGGTGGCACAGCGGGTTCTTTACCTGCCTTACAGCAAGAAGGTCACTGGTTTGTTTGTTTGTTTTTTTTCTGGGTAATCTGTCGAGTTTAAATGGACTCTCAAAGTTCACCATAGGTCTGAATATGACGGTGAATTGGAGTTTGTGGTGATTGAATGGTAAACTGTTGAGGTTTGCACATCGACCCCGCCTGGTGACTGCTGGAAGTGGCTGGATCTCATCATCCCAACTGAGTCAAACTCCTCAATCAAAAAGGGCCACTATTAAAAACACTTTGGACCAGACAGTGTTAACCTTTAACGGACGACTTGCATTATGGGAGATGGAGTTTCTGTTGTAGTTTATAGGATTAGATCAGATTTGTGAATTCTTGACCATGCAGATGTTATACACATACAGACCTTGACCACTACAAGTCAACATTAGTATAGACGTGTAGATAATTATATGAAGCGCTGCTAGGTCGCATAAAATGACACGTGTTTTCAACTGTAATTGTCTTCTGTTGAATCTATGAAATAGAAAGAAATATCACAGATATACGTCCGTTATTGAACAACCATCTGGTCGTGACCACGGCGATCTCCATTTTCTTCACCCGTACAAGACGATTGAAACATTTATGTTCGAATAATTCAAAGCCCCGATAATTAAATTCCGGCTGCCAGCTGTGTCGTTCTGGAGTTGGAGCAGCAGTGACTCACTGTCCCTCGCACGGACCTGACGTTTACACCGTGGGACTGGGTAGACTTTCAAAATAAATCATAGCAAAGTGGATTAAAGCCAAACAAAGGTTGAGTCATGCTGTTTATGATGAGGGCTGTCTCGGTATATTTATAAATGGCCGCCATTAGCGGCGCTGTTGACGTGTCGCGCGGAGAGACACGCGGAGTGTTATATATTTATTCAATCAAGAAAGCTGGGAAACACATTTGCATGTCCTGTGAGGGATTATATGTATCAGTACGTGGATGTTCTGATATACATCTTGATGTAGACCCTGTCTTATATTTCTAGTCTGTAGACCAGAAATGTGCAGTCTGCCCGTGACAAATTGTCATGACGCTACGTTCGACAGATACACAGTCGCTTCAGGGCAGATTTAAATGCAAATTAGCGAGTTGGCACTCGCTTCATTACGCGATTACGGAGTTTATGGTATGTCTGCGATGACTGAGTTTTGGTGAAAAGTTTTCAGGAACTCTCTGGTTTTATTTGATTTTAACGTAGTTCAATTCTACATTTAGAGGAAGGTTATTTTTTTTAATGTGTTTTAGTTATATCGGCGATCTGTGTTTATTTGTGCTACAAGACATAGTCCACCGACTATATAGCTGACCGCTCTGCTCTGGAGCTCCTAACCTTTGACCTCAGGGTAAAATTTTATTGCATAAGCTTTGCATAATTTTTATGTGTTATTTCAATATATTTTTATATTTCCATCGATTGGACCAAAGTAAAGGTTGATTTAATTCACTGCTTTTTAAAAAAAATAAAAAATAAATAGAGACACATCAGGAAGACACCGTCAGCACAGGAATAGCACTGACTTTTTCTCAACCCTGCTTGAAAAAATATATAAAAATCATTCACACTATATTCACATTAAACCCAGCCGTGGGCTTCCAGCAACTGTTTGTGTGTGAGTCAGCAACTCGTGGCTTAAAGATAAAGTTTAATTAAGCTAAAAGCCTCACTGGCACATTCATGACTCCTTTCCGCTCTTCATCCTCATCCTCGGAAACTCCTGACTAATTGGTCGTCCCCCCTGCCACACTCCTGGAGCCCAAATAAGATTAATGAGCAGAAACATTTCTGTGGCGTGCAGCTCTTCAATCCCCCTCTTGGCCAGACTCACACACTCTTAGGGAAATTTCTTGCTTGGTCATGTTTGTAAACAAAAGCCGATGCGGGGGCTTTCTCTGAATGACCGTACGGACCTGTGACATCATGGGCAATTTACAAACACTTAGGTGGAGTGTTCTGCCTTACTAACCGTTGGCGTTTGTTCTCTTCCCCAGGCTACGGGCATGCAGCACCAGGGACTGACGCGGGCAAGGCTTTTTGCATGTTTTACGCAGTCCTGGGAATCCCGCTGACTCTTGTCATGTTCCAAAGTCTGGGCGAGAGGATGAACACTTTTGTCAAGTACCTCCTGAAGCGCATCAAGAAGTGCTGCGGCATGAGGATCACCGACGTGTCCATGGAGAACATGGTGACTGTGGGATTCTTCTCCTGCATCGGCACGCTGTGCATCGGAGCGGCGGCCTTCTCCCATTACGAGGACTGGAGCTTTTTCCAGTCCTACTACTACTGTTTTATCACATTGACAACTATAGGCTTTGGGGACTTTGTGGCCCTCCAGAAGAACAGGGCCCTGCAGAAAAAGCCCCTGTACGTGGCCTTTAGCTTCATGTATATCCTCGTAGGCCTGACGGTCATCGGGGCCTTCCTCAACCTGGTGGTGCTCCGCTTTCTGACAATGAACAGCGAGGACGAGCGGCGGGACGCTGAGGAACGCGCCTCCCTCGCCGGGAACCGAAACAGCATGATCATCCACATCCAGGATGAGTCGTTGCACCATGGCCGCCAGCGCCGCGAGCCGAGCAGGGCGGAGGTGACCGACTTGCAGTCGGTCTGCTCCTGTATGCACTACCACCCGCATGACTTTGGCAGCTCCGGGGGAGGGATGGGAGGTTTAGGCTGTGCCTTCTCCCATCAAAACTCATTCAGCCCGCCGCTGAACCCCAATCAGTACTTTCACTCAGTTTCATACAGGATTGAAGAGATCTCACCCAGCACCTTGAAGAACAGCTTCTTCCCGTCGCCCATAAGCTCGGTGTCCCCGGGCCTCCGCAGCTTCACAGACAGTCACCAGCTAATGAGGAGAAGGAAATCCATCTAAACCCTCGCACAGATTGGACAAATGAGTTTCCACGTTTGATACAACAAGGTCGAACGTTTCCGATGCTGCTCCTACCAAAATCTTATTTCAGCACTTTCCGCCCCCTGCCCCCTCACCCTCCAGTTTGGTTCAATGTAACGTGTCAAGTGTTGTTGGTGAGACAGGCCAGCGTGGACACAACGGGATGCAAAGCATGAAGCATGGATGTCTATTTTTTAAAACGATTGCTCCGTTTGAAACACGACACAAACTACGAGACCTTCCTCGGTACATTTGCAGTAAGAATATTTAATATATTTACTTTGGTTAACGACCAAACGATGCACACGTTGGAAATGCTATTTTTTCGAAAAGGAAAAAAAAAATGCTCGTTTTGGAATTATACCTTGTACGTTCTGTACTTCTCCATCGCCTCACTGCGGACGGATGATAACGCATCAGGTATTGTTTTCTATATAAGCAATCTTTTGTTTCTCTCTGTGTTTTGCCACACGCCGTGCCAAAAAAAAAACAAGGTTGCCAATGTTAGCATGTGAATTCGATGTCATTTAAGTGAGCGTGCCATTCTTTTTGTGACATCCCACGGTCTGTTTCACAGACAAACAGATTAACGACGTTTGTCTGGCGTTTGAAGGATATCGTTGGTATTTCTCCCCCCTGCACCCCCCACCACAAACAATCAAATCTGAGCACAAAAGCTTTCATCTAACAATCACTGCCTTTTCTCAATACCACGTTCGGGTCTAACTGCAGATCAAATTGTTCCGGAGGGAGATTTTTGCCACTTGTTTTTGCCCTGAATTACTCTTCATTTTCGCCGATATTTATGAATTCTTTAAAATGTATCTAACAAAGTAATGTCTGGAGATATTTCCAGAAATTTTCCATAACGTTTTCTGCCAACCTATAATTATGTTTTAATGAGATGAAGAAATGTTAGTAACTTCAACAGCAAGAACGATTTGGCAGTTTTCACTGTGGCTGCATGGCCGTCCCACGTCCTTCAGTCCTTTGTTATTATGACAGTTCACCGCAGCTAACTTGTATCTACTTATAGTCCACGCAGACTCAACTCTCTTCCACCTAACTTAATCTAATCTTAATCTTACCCCTTGTCTGTCATTGAAAGTGAAACAGAGATTCAAAAAAAAAAATATTTTTACAAGATCACTAGGCAAGACAACAATAAATAAATGAAATCAAAAACATTATGAGACTCTGCGCGGCACGAGGACCACGACGAGGACGATACATTTTTAATGGTAGACATTACAATTAGAGAAGTCATTAAAAATACATGAGGAACATTCAACAGGAAACTGAAGCAGCTTCACTCCTGTTTAGTTCTCTTAGGATATCACGAGATGTACACGTAAGTACACAAATATAATAGGATCAGAAAAGGAGAGATATGCTATGACCGTTCTGAATTCTTCTCCTCATTGGTTAAAACAAACTAGTCAAAAGATCCCAGTTCAAATCTCACTCCTCAAACTCCTCCCCAGTCCGTCTGTAGCAGCTGACCCTGAGTCAGCTCCGACCAGGTCTGTGAGTCCAGGAAGTTCACTGCGACAGGCCAAACAAACAGATCTGAGCTGAAAACTTCTGAGGCTTGGATGCACTTTAAGGAGCCATTAGGGAAATGCAGCCTGATATATGTACCGACACGGAAACAAGCTTTAGCAGTAAATATGAGTTAATGTGAGGAGACGGCAGGTAAACACAGATTCAACATCCCTACTAGAAAATACCAGAGGAAGAAGGAGAAACAGAGGGGTGGAAAAAAATGCATGAACGTTTGTGTTCGAACCACTTTATGTGATAGTTTAACACTTAGCATAATAAGCGTTAGCGTAATAATTTATGACGTAAGCTATTTCCTTTGCCAAAGCTCAACAAAATCTAAAGGGAAACACCGTGGGTTTTTTTTCATGTTCCATTCAATAAACAAAATGTAATAATGCTTTTTCTCAGGTTTAAATATTTTTATTTTCACCAACGTAATTATAGTTTGGCCAAACGTTACTGTTATTTAATAGTCAAATACTACGTTTCGGACAGGAGGGATTTTTTCACATCTTAACGGGACGAAAAGCTCAAGGTTTTATCATTGACACAAGGCTAAAAGTCAGTTATATTTTTTTTCTGTATTATTTGCCAGACATGATTTGTAAATGCATTTCTGTGTGAATTAATATTTAAACATGTATTGTATCGGGGCAAAGGAGCGCTGGGAGTAATTATTTATTACCTACATGCGAGAGTACTGTGCTGGTCTTCAGACTCCAATGATATTTCTGGATGCTTTTCTCTCAACAAATTTCTGGACCTTGGGTTTTTGACAAACGTTACTTTCAGTGTTTGAAGCTCAGTGTTTTTAAGGTGAAGCCTCATAAGCTGACCTTGCGGGCAAAGGGTCAAAGGTCACGGACGACGTAACAAGGCGGCGGCGGTGGGGTCAGAGAAGAGCATCGGTGGCATTGTTTCATTATAGGAACTATACTGGCCTATCAAAAAAAAAAAAAACTATCCTGTACAATATGTTTATAACAACCTTTGGTAAATAAAAATGGCCTTTTCTCGGCTGAGATGCATATGTATTTTTACAGAGTAGCATATGTGCCTTGAAGAAACAGTAGTCGGTGTTTCTGTCGGAGTGGGCACACATTTAAATATCACCGCTGCGGATCTGTTTGCGCTTTAGCGAACACATCAGAAGCTCGTGGAGGTCTGATTTTACGCCTAAAAAGAGAGCAGATGTATTTAATTATAGACCAAACACAACACAAACAAGTTTATATTAGCAGAAGATGAAATGGAAAAAAAAAAAAGTTGATTTATCTTCGGGAACACACCCAGCACTGACGCAGACCAAATCGTTTTTTTTCTTTTCTTGTCGTCACATTTTTACAGTGGTTTCAAAGATGATTTGAGTTTATCGCAACCTGACTCTCTTTTTTTCATCGTTTGGATGTTTTGGCAACTGCCGACGTATGGGAACGACACTCACTGATTTAATAAAGACCTATTATACTAGATTTTCATTTGCTTGTGTTTTATGAAGCCTAGTGGAAGACTTTTTCTGTAAGGTCACAAGTTGTGGTTCAGTTGCTCTCAGGATAGAGTGTTTAGCCATAAAAGCATTAGGAAAAACTCATTACATCGTTGACGTTGCTATTACAAAGTACAGTATTTCAGACTGTATCCTACATGAGCTACTTAGTTAAATCGGTAACTTTTTAGTAGGGTTGTCAAACGATTAATATCTGCAGTTCAATCAATTCCAGTGAATTAATCACTGTTTATCATAAAAAAATCCACATTTTTAACATTTTATTTGTGAGTAATTCCAATGATGGAATCAGTAACATGGAAAAATGTGAAGAAAAACATGCAAAAGTAAAACAAAAGAAGGGACTTCTAGAACACATCAAGAGTTACTTTCAAAATCTCTTTACAGTTCCTCATCATCCATTTGACAATTGTGTCAGTCGAGGTTGTAGATTTTCGTGCTCAGTGAGGCTGGTCTGAACTTGAAGCCTCCACTGATGCATGCTGGGTATTGAGATAGTATTTTAAGCTCTACGTGATTCGTGAAATTAGACATTTTGGCTGCAGTGTGTGCAAAAACGATGTGTTGGTGAGATGCCTTAAATATGATAATCACAAATGATTGAACTCAATTGACAGCCCTACTTATTAGCCTTCATTTTTCTGTTCAAAAACGGCCCCACACTACTATATACTCGCCCTTGGCCTCTACATTTCGTTGATGTTCTGCTCCCCAGCTCATATACCACTGATTTATATCAGCTGCACCTGCAAATGTTTTTGCCGACACAGAGCTGGAACGTTAGCGCGGAGGAGAACCGCGGCGTGAGCTCTGTCACCTGCTCCGTGTTACATATGAACATTTAATGTTCGCGCCTAGCCCAGGGCTAGTGCAGCGTTTCCTCTTAGCGAACATTTATCTCTCTCACAGGTTCAACCACACACAGCGCGCAGCATTTTGTTCTTTGCAACCATTTTATTAATTTATATGAACAGCCTCTGGGTTTTATTGGCTATTATTATTATTATTATCATAAAGAAAACACTGACACATTTTATTCAAAGTCTGTTATCAGGGTTTATAAAAAATTGAGAATTTATAAAATAAAACATCTCGCTTTGTTCCCAAAATCGTGGCGGTCACCTTTGTGAATGAAACAGCTCGAAATATGAAAAAAAAAGAAAAAGACTCAAGTTGCAATAAACCCAAACAATCATTTAAAACGTCCAACATTGACAGGGTTCAGTTCCATCTCCTCAGCGGAGAGAATATCTACCTGTAACTAAAGTCCCAGACAGCTCAGATGAGTCGTCTGCCTTCCGTTTACACCACACTTTTCCAAACTTTACAAAGCAACATTTAGGGGAATGTATCAGCCATAGTGGATCTTCTGTTGAAAGGAAGCAGCAAACAAACTGGACTGATTTGCTCTTCGCATGCTACAAGACAGATGCCCCCCCCCCAAACTCCCTCCCCCTCACCCTCCCTCTTTTCACATGTGTAATAGATTTGTCTGCCATCATTGCCACGTGTCATACTGATGGCCCCCGACTGATTGTTACTCTATAGCACAGATGGCGCAGACTGCGAAACAGCCACACAGACCAGGGGCGTCCACAGACGACCAGCGCAGCCTTTTGTTTTTCTCTCATGTTTCTCTCTGCTACATGGCATTAAATGACACAAAGTGGAAATAAGTAGCACCGCATTATTGGCATATAAGGCCGTCACCGACTGCTTGTTGGAGTAACGTGTTCACAGTAACCCTGCTTGGCTTCCATGTGTCATTTACTGCATGTGGCAGTACAGTGTGCGCCGGCCGTTTCTTTGTCAACAGTGCCATGTTTTCCTCTGACAGGGACGCGGAGACAAATGTTGCACTTTCCTCTGTGTGATACAATATAAAATAATGTCCGTGTTGCACTACCTTGTGAAATATCCTTTGCAATAGAATTTTTGTATGTAGGTCTGACGAACAAATAATGCCATGTTTCCATATACCTTACAGGAGATTGTATCTGTCATGTTTCCGCCCATCTCTGTCACAGTTTTCAAACCGATGTCTGTACAGTACGCACCGCATTGAGGTTCTTTCTCTTTCCGTCGCAAAGAGAAGAGATTAAGAATTGTTCAATGAACATTTTGACATTTGTATGATCCTTCTCTCTCTCTCTCTTTCTCTCTCTCTCTCTCTCTCTTGTTTCACACTTTTGTTGGTGTGTGCGTGTGTGCATGATTTGGTGTGGATGATTCACTGGGCTAAGTGCCCCAGGTGAAGCCATAACACACTTGAATAAAAATGATGAGCCTCCTTAAAAAAAAAGAAATCATCTCACTATCTTTTTTCCTATTTTACAACTTATTTAGATATATAAAAAGTTCATATTTACATGTATTTATTCAAGCAATTTTGTTCTGAGCTCCAATTACTTTCCAATTGGACCTGAATTCAATGCAATTAGCAAGTATCCCTGTGCATAGGGATATAAAACATTTTTAAACAATCAAAATAATAATAATAATAATAATAATAACAATAATAATAATAATAATAATAATAACAATAATAATAATAATAATAATAATAACAATAATAATAATAATAATAATAATAACAATAATAATAATAATAATAATAATAACAATAATAATAATAATAATAATAATAACAATAATAATAATAATAATAATAATAATAATAATAATAATAATAATAATAATAGTACATGTTATTGGGCCAACTGTGTGTATTTTTTAGGACATAAATCTCCAGGTGTTTTTACACATTAGTCACTGTTAAAACCACCCTTCGCACGAAAACTGCATATATGCTGAGTGACCCATGCAGTGCAGCTGGATGTTCAGTAGGTGGGAGAATGAGCAGGCAACATCCCTTTTATCCCATCCTACACCGCAGTAATTATACTGTCAGCCATGAGCGTCAGGCAACGCAGAGGCCGACACAATAAGAACAGTGGCTGAGGGGCGTCGAGGCCCTCTCTTGGCGTTAAGCCTGTAATTTTGCATCTTAAATGATCATGTAAGCGGAGCCAAGATGTTCTGCAGTGGGACCGTCTCAATGATATGATGAAGCATGACAATAGGCAGGTGCTGACATGCTGCTCTCTCTGTGTGGGAGAGGCCTCGTAGGGACAAGAATGAAGAGGAAACCATAAAGCAGGGGATTTGAGCAGTGACTGAGTCTGTCTGCTGCATGAAGAATTGGTCTACGGTGGCACAGGAGGCACAACTGAATGCAAACTCCAAAATTCATCCATCGCACGGAAATTGCAACAGTCTGCATTCGAGTAAAATAAATGAACGTGGTGTGAAATGGATAAAGCCGAAACAAAACATCAACAACAACACCAAAAAAAAAAAAAAACAAACAAAAAAAAACACACAGCTGCTCCCTACATGGGATAAAAACTTGATGTATAGTCCTGAAAGGAATACTTTTTACACACACACATGCATATTTTTATTAGAAGAATTCCCAAGAGATGCTATTTGATATTTTAGTATATATTTTTATAAGTTAAGAGATTTAAAAAACAGCAAATTTGAACACATACACACTGAATACTATTAAAAGTCTCTGTAAGGAAAGAAATTAAGAAATGCAAAGAAATATTTGGTTGAATGATAAACATGAGACTCTTTCCTGCTGCCCTCCTTTAGTTCTCTGACAACTGTTACCATAGCCATAAATAACAACGCAGATGGGGCCACAAAGAGGCTCTTGGTCCTGGCAAACAAGAGATTATTTTGGCACCATCTAGTGACAGAATTTCTTCCATGCTCTATTCCCTGTATGTTCTTTCCTAAATTGCAGCAACATATCAACACTCGTTTTCAAATCCATGCAGAATTCTACTCATGTAGAGAGATACAATTTATTTTCTATGTTGTAACGTTTTGTTTAAACTGTGTCGTGACTGTTTTGAATTAGAACATCCACAGTTAAAAAGCCCCTAAATTCAACTGCCTAATTAACAAATTAATTACCTCAATATTTATTGATTTATTAAAAATATGCTGTTAATTATTATATTATTTATGTGTCAGGCAGAGTGAACAATTCAATCTGGAGTTTAGGGATAAATATATGTATTAAATGTATGTGTATTATAGACTTGTGTTGCATGTAGGGATGTCACAATCACTCTCTTATAATTTACGCTCATTTAATTGTAACGTTTCCTTAATAACGTTAGAAAATAGTAGGCCGGAACAGCGAAACTCAAACGGAAGGAAAACAAAGTGACACAACACTCGCGTGTTTCCGCTTGTGTTGCTGTGTTTTAGGTCCCGGCAAGTTGCAGAAGAAAAGTTTGCCCAAGTGGAGGAAAATGACCGAAGAAGAGCTATTCCTTCGAATAAACGCATTAAATTCAGCCGTGTGGGATTATTTTGTCTACAGACAAAGGACCTGTCGTGGATGACGGCCTGCCAGAATTTAAAGTACGCCATAAAAATGCGGTGAAAGACGGAAATACGTCCAACGTGGTTCATCACGTGCGGGACAGCCAAAATAAAGGTCAGTACACAGTAACTGAGTTAAGTTACGGCAATGTTTTCCTCACGTAACATTTAAAATATTAATGTTTAATCACATTATTGTATTATTGTCATTATCTTGTATTTTATCTTTTTGGTTACTTGACTTTGTTGCTGTATATTTTTGTTATGTTGGACATGAAGGAAACTTTAAGACTTTCAAGGAGTGTTCATTTGATTTTACACATTCTTAATGTTGTAAAATCAATTTTAAGAACCGTGGGTTGTTTTTTTTTTTACATTTATCATCATTGTACCAACATACTATTATTATCTGAAAGAGAACATGTCATGTTGTGGATAAGAGCTGTGCTGTCTATTTTATCACTCTTAGAGAGAGAGAAAACTCCCATTCATGTCTCTTTTGTTCAGGGGACTCTCCAGTGAGAAGAAATGTGGACCATCCGAGTTAAAAATACCGAGTTGCATGTGAATGGTAAAAATGTCTGGACTGGAAACTAAAAATGGCCGCATTTCTGAAACACCTGGTCTCTGTCTGTCAGCAAACATAAAAAAGGCAGCATTGGGTCATCTTACGGCCTCTCCGTTGACCCAGCACTTCATGACATAGCTGGACGTTTTGCTGCTCAAGTGGCCTTAGCCCTGACATACAGAGAGAGAGAGAGAGAGAGGCTGAGAGTCACACGTGATGCTTGGTCCAGGAGAAGTGAGAGAGGGCCAGCTGCAGAAACTTGTGTTTGTTTAGCAAATTGCTATTCATCACGAAAGCCAAAAGTGACACAGAATTAACAAGGAAGATAGAGTCCTCACTAAACCACTCACAGCTGACACACTCCAGCCAAACAGAGCTGATAGGAAACAGGATAAAGATTCCTCCGCTGCTCTGTAAAGCAAAGCCGCCCTCCCTTTACCATCGTCTCCTGTCGAATTGTTTCAAGGATGCACGTGTTGAAGAGGTGGACACGACCAGGAGCTTACTAAGGCCAGGGAGAGCATAGTACCAGCAAGAGGATCAGTGTAATTCAAACATGTCACCGTGGAGATTACGTGCAGATGAAGAGGAGATGACACAAGATGTCTTAGGACCAGGCCAGGAAGCTGGGAGAGGGCAGAGACATATTGGTTTTGGTATCAAGGAGCCTCCTACGTGCACTCTGACAGCAGCATGAGGAGAAGTCATCAAGGAGGCCTGTGGTTAGCAGTCTGTGAGAAGCAGGTGGAGCTGAGAAATAGATAGTCCTAGCAAAGGCACGTGTAGCAACATCTGCAGTCAATGGAAGAAATTTCTTTGTAATGTACATACATTTTAATCATCAACCAAACAACGACCTGTTAGGAAATCCTATAACATCCCTGTAAATATAGAAATCTCACAGTTATCAAATGTAAGCCCAGTAGTGACGCATTATAATGGAAATGATCCCGATTTTACTATTAATAATGTGACGGACTTTCCATTTTGGACCCAATATAAAAATATGAATAATTGATTAGATCTAATTTTGCACAGCTTATCATCGTCATTCTAAAATATGACCTGCTGCTTTTCCAAAGTAGAGCACGTTTCATTCTCTGAAGCTTAAAAAGTCCCTAAAGTTTATTGTCAGTTAAACTACATATGTATGAAAAGATACACACACACACACACACATATATAAGTTTGCTGTCCATCAGGGGGCAGATGGCGTTCTCCTGCAGCCTCCTGCTCGGCCTACATGCTGTTCACCTCTTTAACCCTCTACCATAAGGCGACAGACGGTTCCTTAGACTGACACCATCACTCATAACATACATCTGCTCCCGATCATCAGTCCAATTCCCATCCACTCCAAACTGAGCCTATTCATAGCCTGGCCGGCGCTCACTTTCCTTGGCTACAAATGCACCGTAAATAGGCCAGGAAGCAATGGCTAACTTGTTTGTTGTCCGTGACGTTCACATATTGACACTGTGGTCCAGCGTGTTTAGGTGTGTTGACAGCATCGTGGCAGATCAGGAATCATTTCCTGCTGCATCATACAGCGCGTGTGCTGATAGTTCTAGATGTTCTTTTTTTTTTTGTTGAGAACTTACCTGAGAGCTGAACCTGTGATGAAGAGGATATATGAGGTCAAAAGAAGAACGTCTGCCAGACAGGATGTCTGACATAGACTGAGACAAAGCTGCTGTGTTTCACTGCAACCTCCTCCTCTGCCAGAGACCATGACCACACATGATAAGGACATCAGGCTGCGTTTGATGGGAATCACACACATCCTCCAGAAGAACATATCTCATGAAAACACACAGAGTTCAGACAGATGGAAATGGAGAGCAAAGGAAGCAAAAAGGAGCGTTGGAAGTATTTGGTGCGATCGGAAATCCGAATAATAATAAATTCCACAGAAATTCCAAACAGATGAGAGGAAAACAAACAAAAAAAAATACACACGTGTGCACGTGACAAACAAGTGAGTCATACAAACAAGATGGATGATTAACGTCTGATATGAATTAAACGCAGCGCATGTGTGGGCTGACATGATTGTAAACTTGTCACAACACGAGTAATATAGATCACAGGGACTCACGATCGGTCCGGACGAGGACAGACGTTCAACACAAAGCTGCGAGCCAAGCGTTCTATAATCATTCACCCGACTTAAATACAACCTTCCTTCATATAAGTGTGTGGCTGGTCAGGCCAACGCAGCCCGGCCCACCACCAGCCCCAGGGCGGCTCCGCTGTGGCTGTCACAGTGGCAAAGGCCGAACAGTCGAGGGCGGCTGCCAAGGAGCCTTGCCTCTTCTTTGAGGGCTCCACTTCATATGGGTGCAACCATAAAGGAGAGAAGAAGGAAGACGGAGAGGAAGGCAGAGAGAGAAGGGGGGGAAAAAAAAGGATAAAAATATCCAGAAAGTGAGGTCTATAATTGGCCGTGCCTCTTAGCCTTTTTTATGTGCGAGCACGGCCCAGCTGAGAACAGTAGAAGCCACCTCGTCCCCCAGTGAAACCCAACACTCCCCCCTTGTAGTTCCCTCCTTCTCTACCGACCCATCCACAAGATTGCCGAATGCTTACCTTACCTCACTTTTTAGCAACACTGTACACTGGAATGACACCCTGGATTATACAATAATTTTGATCCAGATTTGAGGAGCCGGCGGAGGAGTTATTTGGGATTATTATCACCTGTTAATGATGCTGAGCTGGAGGCAGAGACACTGACCGACTTTTGAAGCACCAACTGTGTGACCAGACCAGGTAAGATCAGTTGGCTCTTTTCCACAAAACCAATTTTTTATTTTAATTGAATTTGTATCCAGCCTGGAAAAGCAGTTTTTTTAAAAGTGAAGAAACATTTTCTTTCTTATGTTCCCATCTTCTTTTCAGAAAAAGAGGTTAAAAAAAAATGATGTTCTGTTTTTTACATTTTGGGAATGATAAACGTGCTGCTTCTGTTATAGACATTTACATCACAGTCCCAGGTCTCTCGTTGGGAGAGGAAGTGGAAACAGGTCCGACGATACAGAACCACAGTTTGTAAGGAATCCGACCTTAGCTGTAGTTGTTGACAGAGGGAAACCAGCTTGTTTTTAACTTCAACACCCTCACTGCTTGTGAAGCAGTAAATAAACATTGGACGACACAGGCAGAAAAACTAACAACCACAAATACAAAAACAGAACAGAGTAAAAGTTTGTGGTATAAAAATTCATTCAAAAAAAATTAATAATCCGAAACTTTGAACGTCTACTTTGCTGGATCTCTTGAACTCAGCATGCACGCTAATAGGGGTAATTAGAGTCATTTAGCTAACATGCTCATTCTGCTCCATAATAGTCTCTGTGAAACTGAGTAGCATAAATAGCTCATTGGGGAATCAGATAAGGAACTTGTGGTTTCTTTTAAGACTAAAGCTTTTTATCCACATAAATAATGCACCTTTATTTGTACTTAATTCAGGCCTGGCACATGTGCCCTCTGGGGCATTTAAATCAGACACTGTTTTATTTGTGACAACTTTGACTTAACTTAAGGCCCCCAGGTCCACTGACCTTTCTGTAAACTAGACCCTACATGTGACAATGATACATAGACTGTTATTATTAGACACTAAGTAAAAGCCACATATGCCATGAAGCCTGTCACAAATATTAGCCCCTATACTCTACTAATTTGAATAGCATTCTATTGTGATTTTTAGGTATGGTTTAGAATGATTATTAAACAAGTCTGTTTAGTGGAATTTTGACCTTTGATGATGTTTGTGATGGTCGATGAGGATAGAAAAACTTGTCATCATTCGTGGGAGTTATATTTTTGCTTTTCAACTGGTGCATAGCTCAAACTTTCCTCAACCTCCCACAGTGACCCCCGCAGTAAGTGAGACTCCTCGAGTTAGTTGGAAACCTTGTTATGGCTACAGTCAGTCACACATCAGCACTAATGGCAGTCATCACAACCAGTCGTCTATAGTGAGGGCAAAAATAGCTTCAGGTTCCTGTTAGAGTCAATGAAAAAAAAAAAATCCTCCAGGTGAATCATGAAAACTGGACCATTGGTGATGAGTTTTTGGGTCCAATTTCCTCAAAATTATGAACATTTCCTGTCAGATTTCACTAACCTCTATATATATATACATGTGTATATAAAATATGACAAAAAGTAAAGAGTATATTTTACCAAATGCTTTGTGTAACTTTTTATGTTTTCCACTGTCCTCTCTGCAGACTGGACAGCTTGATGGTGGTGACAAATTTATAAATCAGACTTAGATCAAGGCCAAAATGGAATTACGACTGGGTTTTCGGATCTCCCTGGTCTTGTTCATCCTGGCCCTAACTCTTACTGGAGAGACTGTGGGAGCACAAAGAGCAGGTAAGTGCGACCACACTGGAAAACTGTGTCACCCGTGAACGACAAGTGGTTGAACCGTTGTGTGTATCTGTCAACCCGCAGGTTGTAAAAATGTCCACTACGACCTGGCGTTTATTCTTGACACCTCGTCCAGTGTTGGAAAAGAGAACTTTGAGAAAATCAGACAATGGGTGGCCAACCTTGTGGACTCCTTCGACGTGGCACCGGATAAAACCAGAGTAGCTGTGGTACGCTTCAGTGACAGACCCACCATTGAGTTCAACCTGGGACGCTACAGGACCCTGGAGGATGTAAAGAGAGCTGCCCGTAACATCCGCTACCTGGGGGGGAATACAATGACCGGGGATGCTATCAGTTACACCACCACCAACATCTTCACGGAGCGCAACGGAGCGAGGCCGGCAGCTAGAGGCATCCAAAAAGTGGCTATCCTCCTCACAGACGGGCGAAGCCAGGATTATGTTTTGGAGCCCTCTAAGGCAGCTGCCAAAGCTGGCATCAGGATGTTTGCTGTGGGCATCGGGGAGGCACTGAAGGAGGAGCTGGAGGAAATAGCAGCGGAGCCAAAAAATGCCCACGTCTTCCACGTGACAGATTTCAATGCCATCGACAAGATCAGGGGCCGGCTGAGAAGGAGGCTGTGCGAGAGTAAGTGTCACCGGGCCGAGTGCCAACACAGCAATCACCATTTCTGAGCGCCACGTGCTCTCGTTTGAAAGGCGTACGTTCAAGCGCTCGCCTTATCCTAAATGTGCTTTTAATCAAATTAGACTTTTATTTATACCTTATATCCGCCATGTGTGGAAAGACCACGACCACAACACCCCACCCTTACCACAGAGAGCTGCTGCACTTGTGCACTGTGCTATCACTGTGCTTCCCTTTGACTAAATATGAGGCCAGGGAGGAGGGTGTTGCTTCAAGTGGCTGGTAAATGACAGTTTTCTAACCAGTGTATTTATGTGGCGTAGCTGCCTTATTCACTTTTACTGTAATGCAGACGGTGCGTTGTACACTGTCTCATGCCGTAAGGTAAAGTCAATTTTTACGTTAATGTCATGCCAAAGTTTTCACAATGCCCCAAAAATATAAACATTTTATGCTGTGCAGCAGCCAGTGTGGCAGAAGTATTTCTGCCTGGAAGATTTTTCATGGAGTTGATGCATGCTTTGCAGTCCAACCCTTAAAATTCCTGCCTAAAATTAGCCAGACAGGAAAGAAAAGGGTGTCACAAGTTTAAGCCGCAAACAGCAAAATACAAAAAGGGAAATGACAGGATTGCATGACAGCTGTGACAAACTGTCAGCTTTCACTTCAACCTAGCTTTAAAATGTCAAAAGTAGACGTTTCCTTTGCGCCGGCTACTGATTCAACCTTTCAAACATCGTCGCTCCTTTTTTTTTTCTTTTTTTTAAAAGTGTATCACCTTGCAGAGGGATGTTAGCTTAGCATGAGGTGTCACTCCAGCGCTCACCCTTGAACCTGCTCTTTGACTCTATGAATTTCCAAAGTGACAACCAGGTATTCCAGGTTGTATATCATGGAACATTCTACACAGAGGGTTTGTTGAACGAACCGTAGGAGAGAGGCAGTATTCTCCAAAATGGAAATGAAGAGCTCTGTAGTCTCTAAGTACATCAGTGGTCAGCACCAAAGGCTATTTTCACCCAGAAAATTATAGATCTAATGTTTCAAGTGGGTATTCCAGTGCCCAAGTTCAATGTTTTCACCTTTTAATCTATAGGTTTAAAAAAAGAACTCACTTTTTTTTTTTACTCCACATTGCACCGATTCTTTTGCTAACATGTGGGCTGGATTTAGAACACCAACACATTATGACTATATTTGAATGTTTTAAAGCCTGTGCACAGTTCATAAAGGGTAAAGGGTGAGGGCTCAGAAGCTTTGTCCCACCCCCACTCACCTGTTGCCCATTGCAGACATTTGCCTGGACGGCTTTTGTAAAAATTCTTACTTGTTGATACCGTGGCCCTGTGTGAGACATTCATTTTCAAAGGGTTTAACATTGCTTCCATTTTAGCTCAGTGCCGGATGCCTAAATTATAGTTCCAGGGCCACAACTGTGGGGCGAAGCTCAGCTATCTAGCATGCAAGTCTGAGAACAGAAGTAGAAGTAACAGAGTCTTAAACTCGCAGTGACGCACGTCCATTCATTTACACAATGGTCGTTTTTTGGAGGAAGGAGTTCGGATTTCTGAACGATATAAACAGAGAGTCCATTTTAGAATGTTTTTCATAGAACTAAAAAAAGAAAAGATCCATATAATTACACTGGTGAACCAGAGAGATATGGACAAAGACAACTGTAATAAAAAAAAATGAATCAGGAGGAAAAGATCCATCTGGTTTATCTCTGCTTTTTAAAATTTGAAATTGACTGTGTAGTCTGTTGTAAATCAAAGCAAACAAAGACACGTTTGTGCTGATGCTAGTGACTTAGCATGAAAAGCTAAATGTATGGACATACATTTAAAATAACTAATCATGGCATTTTATTATTTATTATTTACTACCTGAGGGGGGCACCAGGGAGTATTGTCTAGTCATATGTTTATTCCAAATACAGTTGGCACCTTCTTTGGTGGTTTACTGACAGATAAATATATTCATCTTATCAAAAAGTCGAACTGCCAAAAGTTCTGTTCAATTCCCCTAAAAGAAAAAGAACTGAAAAAGGCAGTGATCTGTCAATTTGAGCTCTTTTGAAATAAAAAAAAAACAGACTCCAGCTCCAAGGTTGACTGAATGACAGTGTCTTCTTCACCTGTTCACCTTAAAAACCTAGTCGTTTCTGCTTCTCCTCACGAGTGCAGCAGTTGCACTGGCATCACGATGCAAATAGACTGCACCCCTCCTGCCAACAAGAACCCAACCTGACAGGTTTGCCTTTCTCGCTGTCGTCGCCACCTCTCAAATATGTGTGTGGAAATATAAAACTCTTATGCTTCTTAAGCCTTGTGGATGTAATCCCCCCATCCATCCTCCCTCCCTCCCTCCCTCCCTCCCTCTCTCCCCTTCTGCACAAACCACCCACACACTTCACTTCCCAGACATCACGGGGCAGTCTGTCTGGTCCAGGATGGGTTCTCTTCACATCAAATACTGGCTTTCAAACACATTATTGCCATCATAAACAAATAATATTCTTCCCGACCTTCAACTCTCAGCCCCTTGGAAGTATTATATGTGAAGTCACTAAAGGAGAACTCCCAGATTTTTCCTCCGCTCAGCATATTATGACTTAAAACGATCACATCTAACCCAACAATTCCTTCTCTTCCCAGATGTCCTGTGTCCTAACATGAAGATTCAACCTGATCGCTTCAAGCCCAACAGCAGTAGTTATGGTCTTGGTGAGGTTCCAGGTATGTGTTTTTCCAACAACAGCACAGCACGCTGCAGTGGCAATCGCTTGTCAACCACAGAGTCAGCACCTTACTTTTCAAAACATTTCCTACACTTCCAAGTTATAACTTTGATATATTTCAGACATTTTTATTGCTCTTACAATTGCTACTTTTTCCAGTTTCCTCAACTAAAAGGAAAGCAAAGTTTCCTGCTGCTCTGCTACTGTGTCCTGTAATATGTCAAGCTGTGCTGTTTTCATTGTTTACATGGCATTAAGCATAGAGTATTATATGCACAGTGGTCTGTTCCTCACTTTGGGACTCTTTGGTTTGTCAGTCTGATCCTCTGTTATTCAATACGTACCTGTGGTTAGCAACGTGGTCAGATCTTTGGTCAGTCACTTAGTTTTCAAATGGTCACCGAGTCTTACATCGAGGTCAAACATGTAAAAACGGCCCTTTATTAAAGCAGCTGTGATCTCCGAGTGGAGTGTTAAAGGTTTCTCAGGAGTCTTGAATAGCGTTTAACCGAGAAGGTTGGATGTTGCTGTGTGTGCGTCCATCCTCTGGAGGATCTCAGTTCCTGTCTGTCTTCCACCCACGTCCATCTCTTTAAGACAAAAAACAGATGCACAGGCATGACTGTTCGGTCCCGGCATGACTGAACTTCATGGAAAAAGAGATGTCAGAGCTCCGAGTTCACACGTTGAACTCGTGTGCTGACATCTGACGGTGTTAGAACACAGGCTCGATCGACGTCTCGTTTAATTTAACCGTAGATGTAAACACAGTCTGTCGCTCATGTCACCAACGGTGGATAGATTCAACACAAATACAGAGCAATACATGTGAGACGCACATTTGGAGTTTCCCATTCATTTAACAAGCCAGTCCTGGGATGAAATCGGAGCAGTGAAAAAGAACCACTGCAGACACAACATTTGAACTGCACACAAGGACCCCAGCTGACTCCTGATTTAAACACCAGTCATTGGCACATGTCCCTGGAAGAAAAAAGAATAGTAACTCTGAAGGGGGAATTTCAGAGCCAGTGAAACAGTTTAAACATGCAGCTGTTTAGTAAGACAAAGATCCAATAAAAAGCTTCCGCTCACTGTTTCTGCCCTGCGATTGGCTAAGTCCCTATGGCCATGGGCCAGAGTTCCCCGAAGCGGAAAACAGAGCCGAGAGGTGAGAGGTTTTCACTCAATAGTATGGAAATGGAGATTTTATTTGAGTGTCCGGCCCTTTAAGTTGTCTCTCTGACATGACAAACAATGACTGTGTTTTTCATTCAAACCGATCCTTTCTGAGACTACATGTCATCAGACAGTGGTCTCGGGTCTGAAGCTCTCTGACATGACAAAGATGTTCGGTTTTTTCAGACTGCACTGTGGCCTAGCCTCACGACACACACTACAATATGTCAGACTTTCTTCAGTGAAAAATTTAATTTTTTTTTTTTCAGTCTGTGGCAAAACACATTAAGATTGTCTCCGTTTGATGCTCTGGATAAACAGTACTTGTCACTACTGCAGCAGCTCCCATTTATAATTACAGAAGAGTTGTGCTGGTAACAAGAGGGGCTAACTTTGTCAGAAATGTCAAGTCAATTTGATTTCCAAGCCAAGAGTCCTGTGATTTGCGACACACTTGTATTTACGGGGTTGTCCAGTCTGACCCCTCAGGGTTACTGAGCGCACGGGGTGGGGGGCCGCGCAGTGCCTCTTTGGCTCCGCACTCACTATCTGCTGCACAAATGCTGCCATCTGCTCCGATGAGAAGAATGCCGTGTGCATGCGTTTTCGCCTTTTCCCAGTCAGCGAACTCATCTGGCTTTTTCCACACATCACCCCATAGGTCGTTTTTGGCCGTCCAAAATAACTTTTTCGGTTGATTATACGCTATCCACTGCCAGTGGAAATTACAGCCCAGCGTTCACATGGCCCACGTACAGCCACAGACTCGACACAGAGAGCGAGCGTGCACAGAGTGAGCGGGGTGGCGGTGGGGATCCAATCCCAGCAGAAGTCACAGCTGTGTGGCTTCGCCCAACGAGCCAGACTGATAACAAGTCAAATGTCCTTCGGTCGGGCCAAGCTTAAAAAACTGTTGCAATTTAAATGTAAATCATGAACTCTATCTATTTACAGCTTCTTCTTTTTTTTTTAATTATATTAAACAAACATGGGCTGCAGTTGTTTGCAAAATGTTTTGTGTGATATTGATTTTAAACAGAAACAGTAAAAGCTGTCCATTAACCCAAACCGTGAATCATAGTCGTGACATATATAATTTACTCTCATTATGTATTCTCTCTATTTGGGTGCACTTGAAGTTGGCTGACCTTTTTTTGCTCCCTCCCTCTTCTGACTACACACCCATATCCTTCCTCTCCTCAGCCAAGGCTGCATGTAATATGTTTAGAACGGTGGATTTTAAAGCCACCATTCTAAACATATTTTTAGGTCATTTTATAGGTGAAATCTGGTTCTTTAAAACAACTGAAAAAAACATCATTGAATACACAGAACAGCACCATCAGCTGGTTGGAGGCTAAAGGTGCACTTGTGTATAAGAATATTAATCCAGATTTGAAGTGCAGTCATTGAAACACATTCTCTGAACCCAAAACTACTACAACAACACATATTCACGTGTGCTATTTTTGCCCTGTGGCTTTAAGCACATGGAAAGCCTGTGTGTCTTTCCACCTGTTTCCAGGCTATTTCTAATGGTATCCACTAAGCTTTAGCAGGACTCTCACATTACCACCTAAGTCTCTGATTTTTTTTTTTTTTCATGTGAAGATAATGGCATCTGTGTTTACAGTTTCCTTCCGGCACCGTTGTATTTCACCCATTTCGTTCCATTTATGCTAAAGCCTGGCACGGTTATGTTGAGGTTGTCCACTTCCTGTTAACTCACTAATGACATAGTGAGACTGAAGAAGAGCCCAATCCACATGACATAACCACTGGCTCTGGGTGAGATCCTCTGGACGAGCTGGCATCATTAATGCTGTCATCGGGCTGGCATCGCCATGGTAACGGCGCTTGTTTGTTGTAAAAGGGAGTGTCCTTTCTCATCCACCTAAATATGGTTTGTGGTTCGACCACTTCAAATGGCACACTGCGCAGCGACGTGCACACATGTGTTACACACACACACACTCAGACTCAAAGGAGGACGTTAACTGTGCCGGGAGCCTGTCTCTTTCCTCTGGCAGAAAAAAAAATCTAAAAATTTTTAATGTGTCCATAAATGACTATTTTTGTGATTCAGTTTAGTTGTGATTTTAATTTCTCCCCAGACACAGTGGCAGCAGGGTGAATGGTGACAAAACTATAATTCAAACGTACGACTCGTGGACCTGGACTTCCTGTTTACTGCATGTTCAGTACTACCTTGAGTCTAAATTTTACTATTCTGTTGCAGGTTTTGATCTGATGGAGTACTTCAATGTTAGAGATATTCTGGGCACCAGAGTCGATGAAGGCCAAAGTTCTTATGTACGCCTCGGCACCATGCCCATTGTGCAGCAGACAGAGTAAGTCACTTAGGAATCCTCACCAGGAATCATCAACATTTTTGAAACTGTTCCATTTTTATGAATCCTCAAACAAACGCCTGGCATGTGTGCCCTTCATTCCACAGGAACGTGTTTCCTCAAGGGCTACCAGATGAATACGCCTTCGTCACCACATTCAAGTTCAGGAAAACTTCCAGGCGTGAAGACTGGTATCTCTGGCAGGTTTATGACAAATATGGAATTCCACAGGTGGGTTTTTTTGTGGTCAAAATCACCAAATCTAGAAATGAAATTGAAATTGGAAAGCCACATTTGAAACCATATCCTCAAAATAAACATGACCTGCTATCCATTTGTCAGGTGTCCATCCGTCTGGATGGCGAGAACAAAGCGGTGGAGTACAACGCAGTCGGCCTGACGAAAGACGCCGTCAGAGCTGTGTTCAAGAATCCCGAAGTGGACAACCTGTTCGATCGGAACTGGCACAAGATCGCGATGAGCGTGGAGGCCAAGTCCGTGTCTCTGTATCTGGACTGCAAACACATCCAGACGCTGCCCATCGAGGACAGGGAGGACATCGACATCCAGGGGAAGACGGTGATAGGGAAGAGGGTGTATGACAGCGTGCCAATCGACGTGAGTATTTATCGTTATGTACTGTGAAGTTAGTGCTAGGGTACTGTTATTTAATCAAAGTATAACCCATGTGTCCATCCAGTTTGACCTCCAGAGGATGATGCTTTATTGCGATTCCAAACACGCGGAGCTGGAGACCTGCTGCGATATTCCCGGCGGACCTGTGAGTATCAGAGACTCGCTGTCTGCGACAGTTTTGTAAATTTGAAACCACGTATGTCTCGGGCTGAAGTGTCACAAATCTCCTGGCTCCACCGCTGAGGTTCATTAAAGAGAGCCGACAGTAATTACGCAGTTGAAAATGGCTGGTTTTAGAGCAAATGTTGTAGTCTCTTTAGTACAGGGGTTGTTAATTGCAAGAGTAAACTGTCCTGTTTTTATACTTTGCTAGTGTCTAATTTAATTGAAAGAACAATGTGGTGTATGGGAACTCACTTTATCTGTTCACTGCACCTCATGTTTCAGTGACAATATATACTGCTAATACATACACATATTTTTTTATACTGTTTATCTAGACCAGATATGGGCAAACTATGGCTCGGGGCCACATACTGCAATTTTTTTTTTTTGGGGGGGGTTCAATACTAACTATTATTCCGAATTCTTTCAGTGCCCAAAGAAAGTAGTGACCGAGGCTCCCCCTCTTGAGCTCCCCACTCCGACCCCTACACTGGTTGAACAAAAAAGTGGCGGTCAAGTCAACTGTTCCTGTGGTGCAGGAGCAAAGGTAAAGACATCTACTTTTCTCTTTACCTTCCACTGTCAAAATCTCTTTTCCGTGGCTCTGGACACACTTCTGTCTTTTAATTTTTCTCAGGGGGAAATTGGTGCACCTGGTGTTGCAGGTGAAAGGGGCGAAAAGGTGGTCTATCCTTGCCTTTAAGTATCACGTTTTGATTGTCAGTTAAAATGTTGTTGTTGTTCCACTTGGGTTTCTTCTACTGTTTTATTTTGTGAACCTGCCTACATTTTTAGGGCGACGCCGGCATCGCAGGCGCCATCGGACCGTCGGGTATCAAAGGAGAAAAAGGAGATCCTGTAGGGGAAATTGTGTTTATTAGCAGGGCTGTTGTTTTGTTAAAAAAAAAAAAAAAAAATTCACAGTATAGGATTCAGCAATTAGTCATTTCAAATTGCATGCCTTTCAGCTCTGCTTTCTCTACTGCCTCGATAATAATTGATCTGTATTGATTAATTATTTGCAGGGCAGAGTAATCTCTGTCAAAGGTGACAGGGGTGAGAAGGTAAGTGAAACTGCATCCTGACGCCGCATGGGAGTCACCGTCTTTGATACATGTTTGTCTTTGTGCATATTTGATATGCATGCACGCATGCGAAGACACAACATTCTAATTTCCCTCCAAGCATTTTAGAAACTTCTCTCATTTTCTCTTTTCCCAACTTGATTCTCTAATTATTTTTATTCCTGTGTGTGACCATGGGATGGCAGCAGAGAAAGGGATATTTACGACACGGTCGCGAGACCTGCTGCGATGTGCGGGTTTGGAGACAATACTATTCTCTATAGAACAGAGAGAATCCCTGGAGACGGTGAAGGACGGGGTGATTTACAGAGACGGGGGACAGGGTACGATCCAGGAGGATTGTCTCTGATGGACATTTCTGTATGGGGAGGGAAAAAGCTCAAACTGCAGATGTTCTCAGGATTATACGCCAGGTCACCACAGACAATGTACAGAAAAATCTTTTCTTCTATAGACAACCCACATGCCTGTGGTGAAGTTCAGGAACAGTTAAACTTTGATCATTATCTATTTTTTTAAATATTTTCACTTTAGAAAATTCCACATCGAATCACATATGATGCAGAATTTTTTTATCACAATTTCTTTACTTCTCTGCACGAGCGGCTGTCCTCTCTGTCTCTCTCTGTGAAAGCCACAAAACATAAACAATCCCGGTGTGAAAACACGACGTCATAGATGCAGTGAAAATTGGCTTTTATTTACCGTCTTCCTTCACAGCAGTGTTGTTATAGATACCGTCTTCCTCCCAGCAGGCCTTGCACTCTTTTCCACTTAACTCTGTGATAGAAGGAATGACGTGCGTTAAAGTGATATAAGCGAACTCCAGAATAATTAAAAAGCAACCTTCTGTGACTTGTAAAGTGGTTTATGAAGTAGAGGGAAGTCTGGCGGTGGGTAGAACCGCACGGAGCTGTGTAATTTAACAGCAGTTACTTATTCTCCCCGGACCGGCTTTGAGATTCCAAAGGATTCCTTGGCACAGAAAATGACATCAGTGAACAAACCAGAAGTGGGGAACTTTTGAAGACAATGGGAAGCCATTGTTCCTTGAGTTCTGTGTTGAATGTATGACCGCACCTTAGCGGCTAGTTCTGACTAGCTCCCAAGGCTTCACTCAACACTTTTTTTTAACGTTGTGTCACATGTATGACCAATGATTTGTTGCATTTTGTCCAAATGTCTTTAATTGTTTTATTAACGTGTACCTCCTTCATTAATAACCCTCCACTCACTAAACCGTGGCGTCTGATGTCAGCAGGTTGGCCGTTGTCTGACCGACCTCTACGCATGTGTCTTTAACACACACACGCGCAGTCCCAGTAAATAATCTGCATTTTTTTACAGGGTGATTCAGGCACCGTAGGGTTTACAGGTGCTCCTGGACAAAAAGGAGAGAAGGTGTGATATCCGAGAAGCATTAGGAGGATTTTCCCCTTTTTTCCATTCCTTAACTTCAGCGTTCATATATTGTCATATTGATTGTGTGTTTCTAATCGTTTCACAGGGACAGGGAGGCGTGCCAGGTATTGACGGGTTGTCTGGAGACAAAGGAGACAAAGTAAGTGGTGGACGTTGTAGTATTTCAGTTTGTTCGAAATGAGGTGTGTTGGTTTTCATCACGGTGGTGACCTTGTACACAGGGCGACGCGGGTCTGCGCGGGGATGCCGGGCTGCCAGGACTCGCTGGATTAAAGGTGGGTCAATGGAATGTTTTGGTTTTTTTTAAAGGCCTAATACTCCTCTTGTTATGGACTTCCATGGGAGATGGGATTTGAGTCAGGGCTTGGCAGTGGAACTGAGGACGTCCCCTTCAATATTCTGACATTGTTTAGTCTGCACATTACTCCCTTTTTATTTCATTATAAGGATCATTAAATGTAGTTCCCCTTGCTCCCCTGTGGGAGACGCCATAGTCTATCGTTTTACTGGGGTGGTACTACACAATTTTATTTTAAAGAATCCCAATACTGTAACTGTAATAATAGTGTGGTAGCCTGTGAGTTGCAACCACATAGTTAATGGTGCCTCCTGTGGCAGCCTTTGTGTATTGCAAAAACTCACACTGATTTTTGCCATTTTTGGACAAATAAGGGATCATTTATTAATAAATAATAATGATATTGGTTTATTATTATTATTATTAGTAGTAGTAGTAGTAGTAGTAGTAGTAGTATATATATTATACTATATTATACTAGTAATTTGTAATAAAATATAGTTATAATAAATTCACCAACTGTTGGCTGTGAGCTGTGGTAAAACTCTACATATTCTGCATCACCTTCAGGGTTTAGTCACACATTCACATTAAAATGTATGACCTCTTTAAACAATGTTTAATTTAGAAATGTAGAAATGAATGAAGCAAGAGTTAAACGTGATTAAAACCAGAGCACATATTTAGGTGCGTATGCTAACATATAGTGCTTTTCCTTCTTTAACACATTCCTTTTGTTGCATGTCAAAGGTCAACTGAAAGTGTGGTCTGAGGTCAGGGTTCAAGGAACCCCTCCCTAGGGTCTTGTCACCGACAGCTGCAGTTTCCTTTTTTAAGGTTTTGGGTTTTAGCTCAGCCAGTTAAACATCTCAAAAAGTTGCAACTCTGACTGAGCTGTGTCCAGCTGGTTTTTCCGACTCAAAGATTAAGCACCGGTGGCAGTTTGAGGAAGTGACGCCTCATTAACTTGATATTTTCCTCTTTCTTTCATGAAGGGAATTCAAGGGGACGCAGGGATTCCTGGCACTCCTGGTCCGAAAGGTGTCACCGTGAGTGGCTTCACACACATACGAACAGTTGAAATTCAAAAGTGCTAAATGATAATTGGTATGCTCACATACCTCAGGGTGAAGTGGGAATAAAAGGCGAAAAAGGAGCTCCAGGTGCTGCGGTGAGTAATAATGTGGAAACTTCTAGAAGAATGGAGTAAAGTAAGGATTGTTGTTAGAAATAAAACAGTTTCTTAAGTTACAAAATGCAATAGTGAGATTTGGTGGTTCAGGAATGGAGAGACAGAGAGAGGGAGGAAAAGGAGCCTTTCACTGGGGAGCTGAGAACGGTGAGGCCTAATTGTACGAACAGATGTGACTTTTTAGTTCACTCTCCACACTCTCTTCACATCCTATGGGGGCGGATGACCACAATGCACCGCGTTCAGGCCGTGTGAATCTTTGTTAGTGTCTGAAGTTTCCCAGTTCCTGCTTCAAAATTCATGTTTCCATGCACCGTCGGTGTACACAATTCAAAACCTCGTCGTAAAAAATGTCATCGTTGCCACTCCGCCGCTGTCCAAATGTTTAGTTATCAGACTGTTCCAGAAGACAGGAAGTAGCACCACAGTATACGACAGTTGAATCATTCACCTCTACATCACGGTGACACCATATTTACACCACTGCGGCGAGGAGTTTGTCAAAACATTCAGCCCAAGTTCACACAGAGTCGGTGCAGTGATGACTTTGCCATATGGAGCCAGGATGTCCACCGGGCTCTGTGCGCTCTATAACACTATTGAAACATGCCGATGTCGGGCTTGTAGCTGTCGCTCAGTCATTTGGTAAGCTAGTAATTTCCTGGAAGAACAAAAAAAACCTGGAAATGTATTTTGCTTTTGGAAAAACGATAAAGCACCTGAGGTTCAAGTCAGGGTGATGTTTCAGAACAGAAAAAAAAACACACGAGTGAAGTTAGAGTGGGATTGTAACCTACGCACAAATGTATTTATTATTTTTTTATTATATGGAATATTAGCTGAAAAAAATATAAACCCATTTTTCTCTCCCATTTATCCAAGAGATTTTCTATGTGCAGTACATGTACAGTGGCCTTTTACTGTGGCCACACCTGTGCAATCGTGCAGTCCAATCAGTGTCCTGATTTGCCACACCTGTGAGTTTCTCTGCAGAGGAGCAGTGAGGGAAGACTAACACACAGTTACACAGACCTGTGAACTATTTTTTGGAAAAAAATAGACCTTTTGTGGACATGGAAAACTTTTTAAATCTTTTATTTCACCTCATGCAAAAAATGGGAGCAGGAACTTTAGTGTTTGTATTTTTTTTTTCACTCTGGGAGTCAGGCAGTTTGACTGAAGGTTGTGTCATGTTTGAACTTGTGGCTTGGGAATGTTCTTCGGAGAATAGTAAGTTATGAACATTTTAATTCACTCAATTATCTATCATGACCTCATTTTACTGCAACTTTAATTTTTACTTAAAATACACTTTGCTTGTTTGAAATTGTGGCAACAATGTGCATCCTGTACCAATGAAACAAAACCAAATATCAATTTTAGCTTGTCATACAGTACAGTACTGTTTGTTTATATTCTGAATTTAAAGGTACAGTACTGTTTGTTTATATTCTGAATCCTTATTTATGGTACAGGGCCTGGCTGGTATAGATGGATTACCCGGAAACTCTGGACTTCCAGGAAAGGATGTGAGTTATTTTCCTTGTTCCACCAGAAACAGTAGCAAACAGAATCCATATTACAGTCAGCTCTGTATTCATAAAGCCTTTGTTTGTTATTGATTAGGGTCTGAGAGGGATGGCGGGGGCACCCGGCCCTGGCGGAATAAAAGGCAACAAGGTACGTTGTACGTTCTCTCCGTGCCGTGCTCCGTTCGAGACGCTTAATTAGAAACTATTCAGACACCAGACTGCCTTGAGCGGGAGTTAATTGTGCCGATATAGATCATTTTAAGGAGGTGTCGTCAGATTCTCCCGCGCAAGACATTCCTACGTCTCCCCCCCAAAGCCGTCCCACTCATTTGTCTAAGAAAATCTTTCTTTTTTTTTTTGTTGCTGTCTGTAATTACCAACGAGGTTCACTCTCCCAGTCATGCATGTGTACCTTTTTTTTTTTTTTTACCACATCTGCATGCAAATGTACCCACACATGCACACTATTGGCAGGGGTACTTTACCTACAACTTTCACTTCAAGTGGGCCTGCAATAAGTACACGCTTTAAAAACAGGCTCCATCTGATAAATTATAGCTGCTGCTGTATCATTACTGCGCTGCCCGCAGAACTTTAAGAGTCTCCTGATTATAATGAAGGGCTGTTCATCTGTGTTGTGCGAACTGTGTCACAGGGGGAGCGAGGACTTCCTGGATTACCTGGGGATGTGGTGAGTTTTAGAAACACTTCTCAAATCCAAATTCAAATTTTATACAATAGTATAAATACAAAAATACATGAAGTGAATGGAGAAATTATGTGTATATAATAGTCCCTTATTTCTCCTACAACACTTATATTTGTATATATGTGTATATGTATGTACATATATTTATAGAATTATCTGCATGTATGTGTCAGTAGAAAGTCATAATTCCTATCGTTAATACATTTATAATACAAACTTTTACTTTTAGTACTTCCTGTAATAACCAGGATGTTACTGAAAAGTTATTCATGAATATTGGAACATATTTTTGGCATGTTTTTGCTTTTCTAAATGAAAGGATGACACAAGAAAAAAAATCAAGAAGTATCTCAAGTATTTACGACAGTTGAGTACATTTCCAAACTTTATTTTACAAACCTTGATTTTTATTTTTTATTTTTTCAGTTTCAAATGGAAGGTTTACGAGGAGAGAAGGTAAGGTTTGTCATTAAGTTGGACTTATTAATTCATGAAAACATCTGCGTTACTTGTTTACTTATGCATCTACACTAGGAAAATAATACGTAACCAACCTGTTTCAGGGAGATCCTGGACCTCCTGGGATTCCAGGGGCTGAGGGACCAGCTGGGCCTCCTGTAAGACCATGACTTTTTTTTTTTCTGTCATACAATACCTGTGCAGTACTGCACGCTTCATTAATACATATTTTGTGCTCATTCATTACTTAGGGTCCTCCTGGTGTGCAGGGTCTTCCTGGGGAGCCTGGAGAGTTTGGACAAAGGGTGAGGACATCGTCAACTAAGTTGAACTTACAATGAAAATATAAAAGGATGTACTTGTACTCTAAACTAGTAAAATACCTGCTATAATACTGCACTTTCTTACTTACTGGGTTGTTACTAGGTGCTCTAACAAGAGCGCCACAAAACAGACCAAAAAAAAAATAAAATAAAAAAGGAGCTTGACCCGTGCCCTCATGGTTTTAAGGGGTTGTTTGAGAGCTGACGATGCACAGGGACAGAGAGAGAAAAAGATCAGTGTGTGGAGAGCTGAAATGATGGGCTGCTCTACACTGACCTAATAGAGCTGCCTGGATGGTTGAGTTGTTATAGATTGAGCCCCCCAACCCTCACCCCTCACCTCCCCCATCATCTCCACTGCACCAAAACTCCATCACCAACTCTGCTCTGCCCTGTGGATTAACCTTGGCTCCTGGAATGACAGCTGATGGCAGCCTGACCTGGAATGTGGGGGGAAAAAGAAAAACGCAGCCAAACAAACTGAAAATGGAACAAACGATTGAACCGACCATTATTGTTATTGCTCTCCTTTTACCAGCTTAACTCTCTGTGGTCTAAATGTTTACGTGCTAAATGTTCATTTTCCCATCCACTGTTTTTTAGGGGAAGAAAGGTGAAAATGGATTGCCAGGAGTGGATGGACTTCCTGGATCTGCTGTAAGGACAGTTTGATTGTAACAATACACACATTGGATGCAGTCTGTATCATTTTCTTTATGACTTCCCTTTTAAAAACGAGGAGTGTAAATTTGCCTGCGCCTGCTGCTCGGTATTTGATGTGAGCAACAAAAATAATAATAATGAAAAAAAAAAAAAAAAAAAGGACTTGCTTTGAATCAACATGTTGTGACAATTAATTTCCCAAATTGCCCTCTGGCGCATAGTAATACACCTTTAGCTGACTCCCAGTGGTGCCAAAGGTTTAATGAGCCGTTTATGGCACTTCAGTAGTGCCCTCTAGTGACATTTTTCTAGTTATGAAAACACACGTGGATATAAGGCAATATTTAGCAAATACAGAAGAGGATATTATAGAGGAAAATCAAGTCATATTTACATCATTTGTATTTATCAAATTAAAATAGTTATTTTTTAAATAATGTAATATTTTGATGATTTATTTTACTTAATATTGGATATATATATCTATATTGATTTTTATGTATTTATTTTGTTTTATTTTATTTATTTATTTATTTTTTTAGGGTCCTGTGGGTCCACCTGGACCAGCCGGAAGACAAGGACACCCTGGACCTCCTGTTAGTGTCCAGAAACCTGAATCACTTTGATACAATGTTACAACATGTGTTGTGTTTGTCATAATACACTCAATATTCACTTTCTTTGCGAAGGGTCTGCCTGGTGAAATTGGATTTTCTGGTAAACCTGGAGAGCCTGGAAAGCCTGTGAGTTTATCTTTCAACTGTATACTTTATTCTGTGTCCCATGGTTGGTTCTCTAGGATTTAATGGTATATTTATTAACCCTTTTTATATGTGATTTTTGAAGGGTCTTCCTGGAAAAGACGGTCTGGATGGTCTGCCTGGAACTGATGGTGCAATGGTTAGTCACACCTTGATTTGCATTCACTCATATCTTCATAGAATACCTGTCAGTGTCTGATCCAGACGTCTTCTGACAACCATAAATTATGACCTCACAGGGAACCAGGGGAGAACGTGGAACAGATGGTTTTCCTGGTAAACCTGGACCAAAGGTACTGTGATTTACAATGTCGTCCAGAAAATAAAATGTACTGTGTAAAATACAGTATTTGTTTTTTGGTCTTTTTTGTTTTTGTTTTTTTTCCCAAATATAATACTGTCATTTTATCATCTCCAGGGCGATGAAGGGCCACCTGGTCCCAGAGGACCCCCAGGGGAGAGAGTGAGTGTACACCGGTGTGTAAACATTGCCTTATTTTGAGTATTTTTTTTTAACACAGTGGGATTTCCTCTTTAGGGAACAGCCGGACCCGCTGGACAAGCTGGTGCTGATGGAGCTAGAGGAGACAGGGGGGTTCCGGTGAGTGTGATTGTCTCATGTCGAAATCTTTATGTTGAGTTTTGACTGAATTTGCTGAGTTTGTCAGCAGCCAAGACTGGAATTCTATTAATTTAAATTGTTATTTAAAGTTACCATTGTTTTTCCCCTGTCACAGGGAGAGAGAGGAATGGACGGACCACTCGGGCCAAAAGGAGAAAAGGGCGACAAGGTACAGAATTAACCACTGTTTGGTTGATATTTGTTGTCGAATTTGAAAATACTCAGAAATACTCCTGTAATTGATGTATCACTTTCTAGGCAAAATCAGATTTCTAATGATATTCAAAGAAATAAGTGCAAGTTTCTATTAGTTAATATAAGAAACTGAACTTGTTTTCTCTGAACTCAGGGGGAGGTTGGTGACAGGGGTCTGCCTGGTGTCCCAGGAAACGTAAGTAACAGTGACACTTTATTTTATTGACTGTTAAAAAAAGATAATACAGCTGTATAAATGGACTATAATCTGTTGGGTTTCTTTTTCACCGTAAAGGTAGCGAACGTCATCCCTGAGCCTGGTGAACCTGTGAGTAAATAGATGAAGGCATTGGTTTTATATGTGATTTTTTTTGTTTGTTTGTATTTTTAATTCAGTTTCCCCTCTCTCTTAAAGGGAACACCTGGTCAAAAGGGAGAAAAGGGAGACCAAGGAAAACAAGGAGAAATTGTAAGTTTTATTTTAGTCTTGTTTTTATATCATGCTCATGAAAAATCAATCCACTGTATTTTTATCTATCTACTGAAAAAAACCAAAGCCAACCTCCTCCCTCTGCAGCTGCAAGTTAGTCAAAGTATCCACTAGATGTCAGTCGAGATCTTGGTTGGAAAGCAAAGCTGTGACTGAAGAAAGTATCCAGGGGTTGGTTTTAATTTAATTGGAGGAGGAAATTAAACTGAAAGAGGGACAATGGGAGTGACAGAGAGAAAATAGCAGTGGCCTAAATCTCTATCCGTCCTGTGTGGACCAGCGTAGGAATACTGTTGCGTATATGAATATTTATCTCATTTGAAATGTGAAAATAATGAAAAATATAATATTCTCTATAGGGCCAGAGAGGATTGCCTGGTGAACAAGGATTCAAAGGACCCGCTGGACCACCAGTAAAATACTTTTTTTCGTACTATTGCACACATACTTTTACAGTGTACTTGTGTAATGTAAATGCAATTTCAAATCTCCTAAATATTATTATTTTTCAGGGTCTAAAAGGTGACACTGGAGCCACAGGGGAGCAGGGGCGTGTTGGAGACCCCGTGAGTTGGTTACATTAATGTGACTTGATGCGAAGGGATCATGTACAGTGTTTACATTAATGGCCGTCACATTTTTGATAGGGTCCACCTGGCGTTCCTGGTCCTCAAGGTTCTCGTGGATTACCGGGAAGCGTGGTATGTCCCTCTGACCCCTATTGAAATTAAGTAAAGGTGAAAGTTACCGATGCTGACTCCCATTTTTTTACGACCGGCCGTCGTGAATGATCTGTGTCGCAGGGCATACCTGGGATCATCGGGCCTCCTGGTCCAGCTGGACAGAGAGGAGACAAGGTCCGTCCACTGTTATAGTGATGCATATGGTTAATTGTATCAGGATTGTGTGAAATGTTGATGTTTGAGGAGAAAATGTAAATGAGTCTGCGGTGAAGAGAGCGTGACCTTGAAGGTCCTTCACTGTGTTTTTTTTTTTTTTTTAGGGTGAAGTCGGTAAACCAGGTTCAACAGGTCCCATGGGGCCACACGGAGAGCCTGGTTTGATTGGACCCCCAGGGCCAACAGGGAAGGGCAAAGATGGACAAAACGTAAGACACAACAATTTAAAATATTGTTTGCATTGTTTTTTAGTTTGAATATACAAATATTCATAACTGCAAGCATTTGACTTCAGCACATCTATGTATAACCCATGTATAACTCTCCCTGCTTGAATGCAACACTGCAGAGGAGACCCACATTATAAAGAGGGTTATTTTAAGTTAGCCTTGTGCACAAGGACTTATGGGAAATCCTCTACTTTGTAGTTCTGCATCACATGACCTCACAAGTTCCCTTGTATTCCCTGACTTTCAATTATTTTATTCTTTTTTTTTAAAGCACACTGAATGCAATACAAGCAGTACTACACTGTACTACGAGAGAGCAAATAGTGCAGGGAATTGTCTGTTTCAGCACTTTTCACTCTGCAGCTCAATACGTTTCTTTTTTTAACTCAGATGTGTTACTCACCCCCAGCCCCTCCCACCCCACCACCACCCACTCGCTGATGTAGCAGGAACAAACACTGTTAAAACATCACATTAAACAGATCTGGATACACCCGTTTCCTTTTTTTTTTTTTCTTTACAGCTGCCAGGTGTGGCCCCCCGGGGCCCGCTTAGCAATTATATGCGCCTGAACTATGGCAACTCCAAACAAAGGCTGCTGTTCTAAATAATGATTTATCCCGGGGAAGGTGGATATCAATGTATAAGTTGTTTGATTTATGTCATTTATTATAGGGTGATCCTGGACCACAGGGTGTTCAAGGACCTCCAGGGCTCAAGGTAAATATAAATACGGTTGTTTGTGTGTAGAGCTGTTACAAACTGTGTTTTTGTCAGTGGTGGAAAAAGCAATTTTTATGCCCAGCACGCTGTGACTGTTGCTCCAGTTATGTCCTGCTCTTTGGTGACAGAACATGATGCTGAGGACACAGAGTAGAAGACGCTGGACAGGGCTATTAGCGGGATTTATGGTGTCAAAATACTTATCCTCATCCACAGGCAGGCTCTCATTTGAGGGATGAAATGTCAACTGTAGATTTTTTTTTATTTTTTTTTTTGGTACCGTCACTCATTGCAGAGTTTCTGAAACCGGGTAACAGACATATTCTGAAATGTCTGTTTTTCCACCAGGGTCAACCAGGACCAAGAGGTGAACCAGGAGTACCAGGCGAAAAGGGCTCAGCAGGAGAGGGAAAAATGGGGCCACCGGTATGAGAGCCCAGCCTACAGTTAGTGATTTTTTATCATACGTTATTTCGTTGTATTTATGTGAGACTTGTCTTCACAGGGGTTACCAGGAAAAGGCGGTGAACCTGGACCAGCTGTAAATATATATTTTATAGGTCAATAACCAATTGTTTTTATGTGGATTAGTGCAATATATTCATTATGAATCTTTCTGGGGTTTTAGGGCCTGAGGGGTCCACCTGGAGTCGCTGGTCCCCAGGGCCCGGCGGGACATAATGTAAGCAACAATATGAACGAGAGAATGCTCAGTTAACTTTAAACACCTTTTCCAATTAAAATGAGATCTTTGTGTGCTCCGTGTACCCAGGGTTTACCTGGAAGACCAGGAGATAAGGGTTCCCCCGGAGAGCCTGTAAGTGATGCCGATCTACCGCACGTCCTCACACGTGACGTCTCGTCTTTGCTATTTGTCTGGATTCATTTTCCACACACGCTGCAGCTGCACATAGACATTAGAACTTGGTAATTCCTCCTAAAGAGAAACCAAATCATAGCACTGACGCAGCGTGAGCTTCGACATTGGAAGCTTCGGACTAACCAGAATAAACACAACATGTTCGTTCCCATGAAATACTGTTACGTTTTTAGAAAGTGAGTCATGCTTTACAGATGTGGAGTCACTGGTTTACACAAACCATCATGATGCTCAACCTAAACTTATGTTTTTTTTACAAACTGCTGATTAACAACAATGGCTGAATCTCGCTGGGAATAAAACATTGTATTTTGACTAATGAATTCCACCATCCTCCGTCTCTTAGGGAAGGGCAGCAGACATCTCTGAACTCGATCTGAAAGTAAGGAACATTTCCATTTCTCTGGAAGGTGGAATTATTCTTTTTGGAAACTGACGTTTTGCGTATTGACGATTTGTTCTTTAGGGCGTTTGCTCAGACTGCCCAGCCGGTCCACCCGGACAACCCGGTCTCCCAGGCATCCCCGGGGATAAAGGACACCAAGGACCTCCAGGAAAAAGTGGCCAAGATGGTTACCAGGTAGGACTGGTGTTCAATTCAGTTTTAAAGTATCAAACCATGGTCTTGGATATAAAGTAATGCACGTGGTGCTGGCCGTGCTTTGGTTCACGGTCGTCAGTCTGTGTCATTATCTTCACCTCCTCAGAGTCCAGCCATGAACAATTAGGAGACAGTGACACTGCTCTGTACTGGCTGCACACACACACACACACACACACACTGATGCTATGCTCTGTCATTACAGGGGCCTCCTGGGCCAGCTGGGCCCGCAGGTCCACCTGGAGCTGATGGAGGAAAGGCAAGTTGGTTCACTGACAGTCCTCTTATATACACTCTGATGTACAGACGTGAACATTCATTTAAAAAAGGAAAAAAAAGCCGTATTTTCAACCTGTTGCTCCACTGCTTTTCATATTTGAACCATTTCTTTTTCCAGTTTAATTATTGTTTCTAATCGATTTGTTATCCCAGGGCGTAAAGGGCGATAGAGGACCTGCTGGAAGCGCTGGAGACAAAGGAGAAAAAGTAAGTTTTTCATTAATACGGCCCTTGATTTTAACTCCTCGCTCTGTGTTTATAGACTAAATATATACTATGTTGTATCAACAGGGTCATCCCGGACCCCCTGGTCATCCAGGTCCACCCGGATTAATGGGAACAGCGGTCCGTCATTGGTTCAAGAACCCAGAATGTCTTCCTGTGGACTTTGTTTTACTTCCTGTTTCTGTTGACCTCCAACGACACTGTTTTCCTTTCTTCTTCAGGGTAACGATGGACTGCCCGGCCCCCCAGGTCCTCCAGGCTCCCCAGGAGAAAAGGTCAGGCTGCATCTTTTCTACTTTCCCCTTAAGAACCTATAACCCGTGTGCCATTATTGTACAAAATCCTTTCCCTCTGGCATGTGGGTCAGCCCATCCTCCGGAGTAATGGCGGTCATTAATCATTCCCTCTCCTTCGGTGACTTGACCTGTTTGTGTTTGTTTTCCATCAGGGCAAAGAGGGTCTCAAAGGAATCCAAGGACCACCGGGTCTTCCAGGATTGATAGTAAGTCAATGATTGAACATGCGGCACTTGTGCATTCATTACCGCTGTAAACGGGGTGTTTAATAATCATTTTTAAATACTAATCTGCAGGGTCAACCTGGAAAAATTGGAAAAGATGGCAGACCGGGAGAAACTGGAGAGCCAGTAAGTGGAGGGAAATGATGATGTGTTTTAGATGCACGTTGAAAAAACAACTTATTGTTGGGTTCTATATTCTTTAGGGCAAACAAGGTGAACCTGGACTACCTGGAAACCCTGGACTCAGGGGGCTCCCGGTAAGTCATCTCCCATAAACAGATCCAACAGAAGGCGCTAGGATAACGCTACGTTTGGTGTGTGTGATGGGTTCTCCTTCACCTTCACAGGGGTTCAAAGGCCACAGAGGAGAACCAGGAGCTGCAGGACTTAAGGTCAGTATGCAAATATATTTTAATTTTATTTTAAAAAAAGCCATGTCTTTGTCAAGTCAGATAGTTGACTCCTCCAGGTGTAGGAGAAAAAACAAGGAGTTGGAGTTCGACAAGACTTTTTTGCTGACACACTTTTATGAAGAATTACTCACTTCCTCTTTTCCTCATAGCCCACCAGAGCCATTGAGTGCTAGGTTGTCGTGACCAATATCATGACTCATTACCGGCAGCTCAGTCAGATAGCCTGTGGCTCTGGGGGTCCACATCGCAACACCTTATGGCAAAATCCTGATAGAAGGATCTAGAAGACTTAAAGTTTGAAGTTTCCATAGAGATACTGACATGTACACTCCTCTGCTTATAGTGACTGAGAGTTTTGTACAATACACACAGGATTATTTAGCCCTCATGTTAGACCAGTGGCAGTTGTTTATAAGGAGACAGCAGATTTAGAACATTTCACTACAAGGTATTTACAAAGCAAACAGGTTTTATGATGAAGGATGGAGATAATAATACATTATAAATAATACAAAAAATCATAATACATTTTTAATAAGAATATAAATATATCAAATAGATGTATAAGTTGTAGTTACCTATCTGAATGTATTTGATTTTTTTTTTTTGTTTGTTTGGTTGTTGGTCAACTAAATTCCCTTGGGGAATTTAAAAACTAATGTAATAATCAGAAGAATGGTTGGTTTAATAATGTTATAAATGATTCATAATTTATATTTTCCTTATTTCACTGTAATAAATGTAACTTCCATTTTAAAGGGAGAAGACGGAAAGCCTGGTGCATTAGGACGCGAAGGAAAACCTGGAAAAGAGGTTTGATCAACTTACACATTCTACATACAAATTTCTATTTTTCTGATCCTTATATTCACAATAAAGCTAAAGTATGTAAAATCCATAAAGCCACTGTTCTCACCAGCTTCTAGATATTTCAAGGTGACAACATTTTTAGTAGGAACCTGTGACACTTCCTGTCTTTCCACATGAGAACCCTGTTTGTCTTTACTCTGCAGTGGCCTGAATGCCCAGGAGTCGGTGTGATTAAGGCATGTAGAAAAGTGGATCATCCGCCTGTGTATGTTTGTTTTGCAGGGTCCCAGGGGAGCCCCAGGTGCAGAAGGACTTGCTGGGCCGAGGGGAGAGTCTGTAAGTCGTTTGTCAGTATTGGTGGGAAAAGTGGCTCTGGTGGCAGAACGGTGTCAACGCTAAACGTGAACGGGGGCGTCCACCTTGTCTTTCACCTGTTTTTATTTATTTATTTATTTATTTATTTTCTCGGTCCAAGGGCAAGCCAGGTGAACCGGGACCTTCGGGGAAAGCAGGTCTCCCAGGAAATCCGGTAAGTTTTCAGTTTCACCTTGTGCTGTACTTTCCTTCTCTTTGCTCACATTAGCATAAGAAACCTCCAAACAATTAGCATTTGTAAAGAGATATACCATAATGGAAAATACGTTTCGGTTTAACAATGAGCCTGTAAGAGATGCATTTGAACGGGGAACTGTAGCAGAGTCAATAAAGCGAACAGTTGGTGTATGTGGGCTGTGACTGTAGTCGAGAAGAGGACGAGAAGTATTTCTAGAAACAAGCATGTCAGCGTGTGATTGAAGACTGGAGTAAATGTTGTCCTGACTGGGTAGGAGCATCAGTTTCCCCTGGGCAGGTGAACATTTAACGGAGACGACCGGTTTGCTGCCAGCAGGAGGAAAACTGATTGCGGGCTAATATCAGAGGTCAGGCTGCGGTGCTTTGTCTCCTGGGGAGTTTGGTTTTCGCTGCAGAGTTGTTGGTCTCACTGCAGCAGCAGAGCTACAACGATGGTTACACCTGTTAATCGTCCAGTAATCCTGGACGATTAACGATTAACTTATTGATCAAATAAGTCACTTCTACCTGCAACAATCAACCTTGGGGTCGCGACCTCACATGGGGATGCGTGGAATTTAAATCTGAAATGCCTAGTAATTAAAAAACTGTTTTTACATCCAAACACATGTATGTATGTAAAAACACTACATATGGAAACCCAACATTTACTCTGTTTTTTAACAATAATATATTTGCTACATTTTTTCTGTCTTGTGAAGTCGATAAAACTTTAGTTTTTCATAATAAAACGAATCAATGAAAATAAAAGAGTGTGAAGGTTCAGTCACAGTGTGGACCACAAACATGGGAAAAGCTGAACGTGCATCTTCTCCTATTGATGCGTTGCCACAAACAGCTTGTCTTCTGGCTCAGATGCCTCATGTAAAGATGAAAAATAATCTCTTCCAGCGTGCACATCCTGCAACAGATGGCTTTATGTGTGTGTGTTTTTTTTTTTTATCCTCGGGGAGTAGGCCTTCGTGATGATAGGGAAGTGCAGTGGAAGATAATCTGGTGGAATCCTCAGTAATGAGTGAGGCTTTTAGAGAACAAGTACGGGGCCCCGCCGCATGTGTGGCATGTCAGCAAAAGACATGTTTTCATTTCTAGAAGACATTTCACCTCCCGTCCATGAGACTGCTTTAGTTCTGAGTGACTGCTGGATAATTCTCATATTAAGCCTCTGAATACGTGAACCCACTGCCAGGATGTTGCGATCAGACAAGTCACGTCTTCTCTGTCACGCAGGGTCTCAGGGGAGACAAGGGAGAGGGCGGCAACCCAGGTTTACCAGGTTTCAGTGGGCCTAAAGGACCAGCAGTGAGTAAATGAGACCTTTTCTGTGTTTTTGATTAAAATATAAGTTTGAACTCCAGTTGAGAGAATTAAGGAAAATAATTAAATTTTTCTCTCTATTTCCAGGGACCACCAGGACCTGTCGGCCCTGAGGGAAAGCAGGTGGGCCAGCCGTTTCATAAGAGCAGTAATAGGTCATATTTAGTACTAGTTATAATAACTGTTTTACTTTATAGGGGATGCCGGGCAGACTCGGGGATCGTGGCAACAAAGGAGATAAGGTGAGTTTAGTAAACCTGAATGTGTTTTTCTCTCATCTTTTTTTAATTTTATTCAGCTTTTAGTAACATGTATGTATAAAATGCAATTAAGTTGTTTCCCTAATTGTCCCCTTGTGGCTGGTTGAAGAACCACTAGCCTAATTAAGCGTGTGCTTTTAGGGTGACACAGGTATAAAGGGAGATAAAGGACACTCAGGAGAACCAGGTTTGCCTGGAAACCCAGGCCCCCCGGGCAGAAAGGGACACACAGGAATGATGGGAATGTCGGGACCGCCGGGAGAAATGGGCCCACCTGGGGCGCAAGGACCTTCAGGAAACCCCGGTATCCCGGGCCCAAGGGTGAGTGGTGACCATGAAACAAGAGTGACGCCGTGGTGATACAACAGTGATGGCTGAGATTTGTGTTCCCTCAGGGAGAGTCAGTATCACTGGAGCAGATGAGGCGTCTCATCCAGGAGGAGCTGGGAAAGCAGTTGGATGGTGAGGAGAGAGGACATCTATGTAGATTCCTGATGCTATCTACTGCTTGATTTGTTTTGTTGTCTTTTTCTTTTCCTAGCCAAATTGGCTTATCTCATGGCCCAGGTACAGCCAGCCCATGTGAAGAATACTGTCGGCCGTCCAGGACCTCCTGGTCCTTCAGGTAAAGACGGCAACCCAGGGCGGCCTGGCCCACCTGGAGAGCCTGGTATGCCTGGGCAAAATGGAGGCGAAGGACCCAGGGGACCAATGGGTCCTAAAGGTAAAACCAGATCCCCATCCTGTACCAAATTCCACATTGGGTTGTGTCATGATATAAATATTTTATTGGAAAACATATTTTCCATAAAATAAATGTTTAATTTACTGATACATCTCATACAGTCTTCATCATATTTAATGACTTTTATATATATTAGGTGAAAAGGGAGGAAGAGGAGAGAAGGGAGATGCTGGTATTGGTGAGAGAGGAGAAACAGGTCCTGCCGGACCAATAGGTAACCAGTCATCAGCCTCTTCTTCGTCACAGTAAGGTTGCACTCAAACGGTCACTAATCACTTCCGCCTTCGCCCCAGGTCCCGCCGGCATGCCTGGCTACGGCAAAGACGGAAGCCCGGGACAAGCAGGAGCACAGGGAGAACCTGGAAACCCCGGGCCCCACGGTCAACCCGGTCCACCTGGACCTCCTGGCCAATGTGACCCCACCCAGTGTGCTTACTACGCCAGCTTAGCACAGAGACCCCACACCAAAAACGTCAAGGGAACCTAAAGCAGAAAAGGGGACACAAAGAACACAAACTCCAGCTGTTCTCATGAACTTGGTCGTGTCCGCGTAAACCACAACATTTCTTCCTTTTCACGATAATGTCACTACAGAGGGCTGAAGCAATTTGTGCTGCCGGTCCGTTTTTTTTTTTTATTTTTTTTTTTTACTTTTATAGTGCTTAGAATGAAAAAAGAATTGAGTATCATGATACTAATAGAAATTTCTTATAGGTTTAAGAGGGCAGCTAAACGTTTTTGTTTCACCCGCATGCTTCCTGCAAAGAACAACACATTTCTCTCCTCTGCGAGGTACACTGTGTCCCTGAAATACATTTAAATTCAATTCAAGGGTGTAATTGGAATGTCGAATATTTTCAACAGTGCTTTTATGACTCTTCCTTTACGTGAATGCAGTCCTTGTTGTTTTTACAACCTCCTTAATGAGCCTTTTCACATTTATACATGAGTTAGCTGTTCTGGGTTTTTGGCTCTGGGTGAAAAGTAGCCAACAGCAACTTAATGTGTAGATGGATTGATTTATAATTAAAGGCTCCCTATAATAACCTCTAGATGTCGCTTCAAAGAACTATCAGGAAGTAAACATTCTGGATTCTGATATTGAATCGAGACATTTGCCAGTTATGTGCCTTATTGTTATTGTGTCTATTCAATGGGTCTCATCCTGTCCAGGTGTCACCCTTTGCAATCAGCAGCAACAGAGCAACATTCAATCCCAAATACTAATATTTATTTTCGATGATTGTATGTGCAGTGATAAATGACCCCAATGTTAAACTTACTGCCTCTGAACTCTGGTATCAGTGTTTTTGGAGCTGTATTTTGACAGGTTTCCGCTCCTCAGGACTGATTAGACAGAGCCTGAACAGCAGACGTTAGTTACAGTATTCCTTGAATAAATGTAGCGTCACATTAAAGTTTCCCTCTGGGGTGTGTGCGGCACCGACTCGAGCAGTAAACAGCTCTCAGGAGGAAAGTACGACAGCAGCCTTTGTTCACCTTTCTTGAAAAACTGCTTCTTTCACACTACTTTGTATGAATGTGTCACATCCTTTTCGTTCACTCGGGCTTATTAACTGCACACTGTGACAGGGCTCTGGTAACGCAGCCCTGCTCTGAAAACATGGCTTTTTTTTTCCTAGTCAACTCCTAGAACCTACAATTAGAGACTGGGCCTCCCTGCATGCTGAAGAGAGCAGTGTGAAAGGCACTGAATGATGTTTAGTCTCACATCCCTCGTGGACCAATTAGACTTGGTCCCACTTTTAGGCATACAATGTATCTGTAACATCCTTAGTACAGGAGGATCCATCACAGTCAAGACTGTATGAACACGTTTTTGTTCATGAGACGAATGCCAAGATTCACGTAAACCTTTTAAATTGTGTATTTTTCTGACAGTAACAATTTTTTTTTAATTGTCTTTACAGCTGGGAGTACTGTAGTTTGCTGGATAAATTGAGTATTCATCGATATACGTACACCTATTGATGAAAATATCATTATTACGTTACAAAGAATAATTTAAAATAATTTTACTTCAGGTTTTCTTGTTAGTTGTATGGGTAAATAAATACAAAATACAGCAATAACCCAATCCTAGCATGATAACTGTATATCATTTTATTTAAACAGTTTTCAAATGAGCCAAACAAAGATCATGTTTGATTCCAAAACACATTCACATCAAGTCTGAATCTCTGAAGCTAAGTTTGTTCATGTTTTACAGCTGTTATAGTTTTTAGGTTTCTTTGCAGTGTGGACATTTATTTCCAGCGCTGGAGTAGCAGTGTTTTCATTAATAGATTGTGTATGGACAGCAGCCTGGACAAACAAACGAAGGAACATTCTTTTATCCATGGACTGCCTTGTCATTGGTCAATCTCCCTGCAGTGGCCAGGTATCCCCAGGCTTGGAGGCGCAGTAATTTGGGGCCTGCTTAATTTATATAATTCAAAATTGTATCTCGCAACTACTAACCAGCTGCCTTTACCTTTAACCTAGTTAAACTAATGAAGAAGCTATGACAGACAGAACTTCATTAATGACAAGCTTTGCCAAATGTCATGTCAGGAGAAAACTGCAGTTGTAGTTGTGCTACTGATTATGCTCTGGATGAATTAAATAACTCCAATTTATAAAGTTCAAATGGTTAGAACTTAATATGTTTAAAGGAACTGCATTGCTGATCCTTGTTTGTACATTTCTTTTTTTTCCTACATGTACTTTGTGTTACAGAACACGAACATGCTCCATATATGTCAATATATTTCAGTGCTTACAGGCCATGCCACTATTGGATTTAGCTTTTTTTTTTTTGCTCCAGTGATGCATCTCTCTCTTTTTTGTAACTTATCCTGATAAATTATTAACAATTTGAACCAATACAAAAGTGTTTAGATTCCATAAATAAAGATTATTAATTTGTTTTTGCCATTTTAGTTTTCTGAGAAATTGGTGCTGATATAAGTGAGAAGCATACTGTAAGTATTGGAAAGATTGTACTGTACTGTATAATAAAGAATGGAAGAAATCATTTTATAATACGTTTTGTAAATAAGTGTTAATTTCACTTATAATGTGTGACTTTTCTGCTGTTCAAAGAAGAAAAAAATGACTATTGAAAACTACTGATTATTTCCTTCAAATAAACCGTCTTTGTCAGTTTGTCATTTAAAAAAATTAAACCATTAGATTTAGTGTAAAAACACTAAATTTCTAGTTTATTCATGTGGAACCATTATTGTAGGAATATGTTTTTATTTGTATACGGTTAGGTGTGTAACGTATGTTTTCAAAGCGCCTCAGGGGGAACATTATTCATGCAGAGCCTTATTGTCCAACTTCCGCCGGAACGTAATTATGACTGTACCCAATTACTACTCGCTGTACGGAAGGTAAACAAGGAGACACCGGGAGATGCTTCTTTCAGCGTGTTTTTACAAATAAATGAGAACATAAAACAAAAGCTGACTGAAAATGTGGCGGAGCAGCTTCGTTGTCAAAAGATGTCAGTACCCAAAACTAAAATGTATCCTAAATGTATTGTGACAGGTGGCCATTTGCACACATTTGATGCGATCAGTATTTGCACCATAGTTCATCATAAGAGTTTGCGGAATTGTCCTTTAGCTGCACTGACAGCAGTGTGCAGTGATTGTGTTTACCTACTCATCGACAAACTAATGAGCCTGCACTGTCACCTGGTGTCGGGCAGGACGCTTGTGATTGGATAACGAGGCGCCTCTGTGCCCTTTAAAACCGGAAGGAAGTGGTAATACTTTCCATCCGGGTGATGGTTGCAACATGGCGCTGTGTGAAGGCACGGAGAAAACAAGATTTGCTCTTGTTACTACGGTACGTATTTTCATCTCTGGTTCTCTTCGCTTTGGCGATTAACGCTTCATGTGAAGGACCAGTATTCCGCGGTTCAA